ATTATTTGAAAAATATACCGATTGTATCGTATCGGTAAACCGTGGATGTTTGCGCAAACTCGCGCAACCCGTCGAAATAAAACTAGAGGAACGAAAATAAATATTCGCAGCTTGCTCGCGCATATTTCGTAGGTAGAGTTTCAACAGAATTATCTGTGTTCTGGAAATTGTCCGCAAATGCATAAAAATCCTGTCTGTGTGTCGGTATTGTAGTTAAAAAAAAATAAAAAAGAAACAAAAAAAGATGCAAAGTGATAAACCAGTGAGATACGAAATTCAAGAAGGTATTACGATTCAACTGGAAATGATTATAAAGTAAGATAGGCGGAAGAGGGGCGAAGGGCGAAGCCGGAGCTCGAAGGAACAAAGAGTAAAATTGGAGACGGAGACTTAATAGAATCGGAGAGTTGAAGCGTACAAAGACCGAGATATGTAACAAGTTTAATTTAAAGTATCCTTCGCATCTTCAACTTAGAATTCGAAAGAGAGAGAGAGAGAGAGAGTTTCTACTTATTACAGGATTCCTTCGTTTCCTTTGACAACTAACGTTCAAGATATTCACAACCAGGTTTCCTATCTTTTCTGTCTGCCAGTTACCTTTTCACCCTTCTACGATCGTTCTTATTTATTTCACAAATTATTATTAATGAAAGAGGGAAAAAAGAAATTTTTGGAAATTTAAGAATAATTTATGCAATATTAGGAATTGGATTTTTACGATTTATTGTATGAGCTCATCGTATATTTTACTGTAGGATTAGATATTGATACACGAGCATATTTTACACCAGCAACAATAATTATTGCAATTCCAACAGGAATTTTTAGATGATTAGCTACATATCATGGATTAAAATTAACTTTTAATATTTCATTTTTATGATCAATTGGATTTATTTTAATATTTACTATTGGAGGATTAACTGGAATTATACTTTCAAATTCATCAATTGATATTATTTTACATGATTCATATTATGTTGTTGGTCATTTTCATTATGTATTATCAATAGGTGCTGTATTTTCAATTATTGCAAGATTAGTCATTTGTAAAATAATTGGAGTAAAATAGATGGAAGATGGCGCTCGTCCTATGTAATAGTGAAATTTTTAACAGAAAATTCCGATTACATATACGTGGAAAGGAGATCATACGATACAGCGTTTCTCATTGTATTTTTACGTTCTTCAATGGAGACATAAAGAAACTTTGAAGAATATTCCCGTACAAAAATCTATATCGTTTTCTACACATTTTCGCATAATTTTCTGAGAAATGATAATTGTAAATTGCAAGTACCGTATTTACAATTATTAATTACACTTAATAATACTCGTAGTACTCGTCACTGTTTCTCTTGAAATTCTTTGTTCCTTTTTTCAATCGTCGCTGCGGTACATTCCCAGTATATTCCGCTTATACTGAATTTTACCTGTACTTTCCATTTTTATACCTCTCGCAGCCTCCTCAACTACGTGATCTCTCCGTGTCCATAGCTGCCGCGACAGAAACGCGTCCCCAATACGAAATCGGAATAACAAAGTCGCGAGAAGTACGAATACCTTTGCAATCAGCCTCTGGAAATCAGAATTCTCGCGCAGACCGAAGAAGAATTGAATGGAGAGAAACAAAGAAACGGTGGCGCTACTCTTACGCGGAAAATCGGGTCGCGGCAATTCGGCGTTAATCCGAAAAATCCGGAATCCGGCGACAGAGCCGGCAGGAAATTCCGGCGAGAAAATGCTCGGCCGTCCGGTTCTTTAATTTGCATCTACTTTGGTTTGGCTTAATGATCGGAGACGCGATCATTGTTGCCCACGGAATCGCCATGGGGCCGTCACGTAATGAAATTTGAAAGGAAAATCAGCGCGAGCCGCGCGAGCCACGAGCCACGAGGCCGACGTTTCGAACGTGACGTGGCCAGTCCCATCATTTTATGCAAATAAAACCGGAGAACGCTTGATTTCCCTTGGTGTTCGCCGACGACGACGATGTCCTCGACGTCGTTCAAGCACGCACAGATGCTGACCGGAAACACCAACCACGTTTCGCTTGCTTTCGTTCTTCCCCTCCTTTTCTTTTTTTTTTTTTTTTTTCATTCCTCCCTCTGTTCTTTTTTTTCCTTTTTTAAATTCCTTTCCCTCCCTTTTTTTTTTTTTTTTTAAATTATCCGACGAGGGGAGAAAACGTGCGATCTACATACACGTGTACATACGTCTGTGTTTGAAAGTCGAGAGTTGGCGAGTCGACGGGGAAAATGAAGTTGCAAACGTACGAGGGGATTGAACAGAAGTGTGCAACTGATTTGATATTTTTGTGGTATCTGTCACTAGGAGTGGAAATTAAAAGAATTTAGAAACACTGGTCCTTCAGGCTGAGGGGAATATGCAGAAGGGTTAGATACGAAGACACGTTGATGCGTAGCGAGTTCTAATTAAAAACAGAAATTGAAATTCGAGAGTTACGTAAAGCGAAGAGCAGAAAGAAGATCATGGACGTCACTCTTCCCTCTGATTTTTATAAAATACACAATTACACACCCTTTGAAAAAAAAAAAAAAAAAAAAAAAAAAAAAGAAAGACACTACAATTCCGTTCGAATTGATTCAAAATTTTCGCAAGACAGAAGAATAGAAGTTGTACGTACGATTGAAACGACAACGAAATGTATACGATTTGAAGAAAATAGATCGGTGCTTCATTTCGAACCACATTTTTTCACCTTTTTTTTTTCGCGTTATGGCACCTCGCGCGTGGTCTCGACGGTCGCATCGATTCCCTGGAGAGCAGAGATGCACGTGTCAGCGAATACGTGTTTACACCTTCCTGGGACTCGCTTTAACGCCGCTACGTTCGCATTCTACATTCGAAACGCACCGCCTCTATCAATTTACACCTGCGCAACAACTTGTTTTTTCCTTCGACTTCCTGCTCTCGTTCTACTGCCGTCGTTCGAACGTTATAATTGTCGCGTTTCCTCCTCCTTCTTTTTTTCTTTTTTTTAAATTCAACTTACGAGAAACGTAAAATCGCCACGAGTGCCAATTCTTGTCTAGCAGAGACATTGAATTTCTTCATTGAGCTAGATCGCGCAATAGTGAACAGTTTCCAAGAAACGAATTCCTGAATTTTTGTGTCAACGCGTTTGCGTTCATTTATTTCACCGGCATTTTCAAGTAAAAAGTAATGGAAGTCGAGGCTCGAGGTTTGCAAGCTGCAAATTCGAATTTTTGTCGGTACGGAGATTCAACCTAAGGACTATTCTACAGTATAATTATAATAAGATTACAAAAATTATCTTTGTCAAGTTTACACAAATGTTGGAAAAGAATGGTATCATTTTTTTGGTCATATCGAATTTCATTTAATTCGTATGTCAAAGGGTTAAAGAAACAAAAATTCGCTGCATCCACTGGACATTGCAACGAACAATTTTCTTTCTTTTCGGTATTTTATACATTCTCGTGTTTCACGTGTATTTGAATTGCGTGATTCTACGTTAACCTCTTGCGTTGGAATGACGTGCCACGCACGTCGAGAACCATTTGTCCCAAAATTGCAATATTTTCTCAGTTTTAAGTATATTTGAGTATGTCCCAGGCAAAGCAAATAATAAATTCATTACTTCTCGATAATTTCTATCCGGTGACATCGTACCGACGAGTTGAAAAGAAGAGGAAAGCGACGAATTATTGTATACGGTTTGGTCGCTCGTTATGGTCCGCAATCAGCTGCCAGCGCAAGCGGATCGTTCGTGCCTGCGTTAAATCAGTACGTAACGCTACTTGTTCAATCGAAGGTTGAAACAAGTTCTTCGAGGATTTTCCAAATATCTGCAAAGTGAAATCGGCGAAATCTCTTCGTGTCGAAACGAACTTTCAATGGAAGTTGAAAGCCACGATTTTGATAATTGGACGATCGTAGAAGATCGTGGCGAGCGTTAAATCTCTGACCAGGTGGTATAACCAGGAATAGTCCGTTGCTGCATTAAACGAAAACGCGAGCTTCGAACATAGCCGGGCTCCCATAGCGATTGACGTGTCATAAACCTGAAGACGCGTCGCAGCAATTAACGGGTCCGGCAGCTTGGCTGAACACCTGGGGTCTGTTCCCCTGCGGGTCTTCCCCGTAATGGACGTTATCCCCTACGTACGATGCTCAGTTGACTGCTACCTCGAAATCATTATCCACAAAGGGATAGTATAGAGATCGTTAATGTGCTAACTCCGCCGTCGTTTTCTTCAATTACATTCGTATTTCGTACACTGAAAGACTGAAATAGTGGGAAATTTGTGTCTTTCGATTTCGGGATTTCGTGTCCGAGAGTTTCGACTTCAAGGTGCAGGAAATTTCGTTTTATTTAAATCATTGTCGCTAGATGCCGATGTTTATTAAATTTCAAAAAAAAAAAAAGCGACATTACTTACGAGTATCCCTAATACAAACTTTTTGTTGTAAATTTTGTGAATCTCGAGGGATACACTATTTATTTATTTATTTATTTATTTTTTTTTTTTCTTCGTGGAAATTTGATGATCTTTTGCGAAATTCATGAATATATACAAAAGACTGTATTCTTCGTTTTATTGTCTTCTATATTTTAAGTCTTATTATATTCGTACTGTCGTAAGCGTAATCAAAGATCAGTCTATAAAATCTACAATCTTCTTTTCTTATTATAATAAACTTTTCAAAAGTACTTGATAATCAACTGATGGCACAAAGAACAAAGAAGCGGTACACTTTCTAAGGACAAAGACAAACCTTTACAACAAATCGTAAAATTTAGTCGCACGCAGGTGGCCGACTAGGTGCGACAATAAACAATGAGAAAAAAAAAAAAAGAGAAAGATATTTAAAAGAAATTTCGCAATCACCGAATCCACCAATCTCGAAATTTTCTTTCTACATACGAAAACCCTTCTCTGTTCACATCTTGAGACTCGTGTGTGTGTGTGTGTGTGCCACACCACGCAAGACGAGGGAGATTCTCTACTCACCGAGAGCGCACAGGAGAATATGAACGAAGCTCACGTGTCTGACGACGATACCGGGTGACCGCATTTTTCCACGGGGACGCGTTTGTGCACTCGATGTTGCGCGACACGCAACGAGACACACGACCGTTGTCCGTGTGTTGTGTCGCGTCTCGTGTTGTGTTGTGCAGGCCGCGCGTGAAAAAGAGGACACACACATACACATACACACACACATACGCACATGCACGCTCGCGCGCGAAAGGATCTCGGAGCGTACTCGTTGCGACCAAGTCCACGCGGAAACTGGCTGGTTCTCGGCGTGCACACCGCCGTTAGTATTCCCATACCCGGCTTCCTTCGAGCAGAACGGAACGTAGTACGTTAGCCGACTTTTGCCTTTGCCAGCAAAAGGCTGCGTGTGCGAGAGGGCCTCTCCTCCAAGTGGCAGATGGTGGGAAAGAAGGAAAGGAAGCGGCGCTGCGCTTACATCCTCTCGCAGAAACGCTTTCGAGACAATCCACTCACTTCTCTCTTTCTCTCTCTTTTGCTTTTTTTTTTTTTTTTGTTTCTTTTGTTCTCGTTCCGTTTTCATTTTTCACAGTTGCCTTATATCGTGTCGATTGCTGAGAACAGCAGAGGCAAAATTGGATGGCTCCGATTGTATCCGATTTTGATCGTTCAGTCTAAATTCTTGCACAGAGTTCCTGACAGTTCTTTCACGAATTCTTCTTCGCTTTGAACACTTGCGGCAAGATTTCCGAATATTCGAAATACATGTCTTGCTACACACAGGCGATCCGATCTAATTTATCTAATTTAGCTTTGATCGAGAAAGTATTAAAGTTGGTGAGAGGACAGGATGGGAAATTTGTTTTGTCCGATGCTGCGTTTGCGATTAATTTGCCGTTGCTAATTGCTCTGAGATTGTTCGGTGTTTACTTCACCGTTAATGAAGACTCGAACGTCCTTACACTTGAACTACTTGTCACCAGTGTATCTATGCACACAAGTCTGACGTGAAATTTCGAAATTTTGATAATTCTGTTTCAAAGCAGAATAAGACGTTAACACTGTGTTCAAAAACTTTCACGTTCGTCTTAGATGAAACATTTTGGAGTTTCGTTAACAGAAATCTGATAATCTTCGTCGCAAACGTGTATTTAAAAAAAAAAAAAAAAAAAAAAAAAACGACAAATTCGATCAGTTTAATCGTGTAATAAGAGCTAAATACAGCGGTGGAATATTTGTTAATAGAACATGAAAATTTATTAATTTGAAGGTATACTTTTGTGACAAGATGTCGTATTCACAAAATCTTCGTCTACAAACGTTCACACGCCTTCGCGAATCTCCAGATGATGAGAACTCGATAGTTTCTAATTTTCCCAACTTCGCGATGACAATTCATTCGTTAAATACTCTCGTATGTACGAACGATATCGTATGGTATCTGCAACGCACTGATAGAATTCGCAAGAAAGCTCGCTGCCGTGGACAATTGTGCATTCGCGCTGGCGTGCTTCGCCGCTTGTTCCTCTGTTGCTTCCTTTTCACGCCATAATTTTTCTACCAGTACGATAACTTTCGAACGTTGCGCAAGCATACCGAAACGATCGAATTTCTATTCACGCGGCCAAATTGAAAAATTCTGTCCGGCCGAACGTTGAAGATGTCGGTTCGAATTCCGCTCGTATAAACGTGTAATATCCACAGATTCGACGTAACGAGTATGATCGATCGCTGCTTTCTCTCACTGTTTACACAGTTTTTCGATGTTTTTTTTTTTCAAAATTCTACCAAGTTAATTTTACGATGCTATGTTTTTTCTAGAGTCTTTAGAGTTTTTTCTTTTTTAGAGTTTAATACTTAAAGACCTACAGTTTTAGTCACAATGATTTAATAGAAATAATATTTTTCGACTGCCGTACCTCGTTTTTTTCTTCTCTAAAAAATTCTTTAAATTATATTCGTATATAATTTTCTACCAGTATTAATTTTTCTTTCTGTCATTGTTTGTTGAATACGCACCTGTTAAAAACAAGTTGACCCACGAGTCTTTAATATAAAAATAACAATTTATAAATTCAATTATTCTTCAAGGTGTTGTGTCATTTTCATTGAAAAAAAAAAAAAAAAAAAGAAGTCGTATTACAATTACAGAGTTTACAGAGACTAAGATTGAGCCAGTCTTTAATTAATCGTCAGCTCTACAATTACAGAGATCTTTGATCAAGAAACGACTCGATCAGCAGCTTAAATATCATCGTATCTTTCACCTGATTTTCTCTTTCTCTTTGCTGCTCTAAACGATCATGATTTTCCTGTATGATTAACATTTTTTGTTGCTATTGTTGCTGGACACGCAACTGCATTATTCCACAATATGTAAACGTAGTATTAATAAACGAACATGAACGATATGAATATTAATACGTGCATTTGTGTTTCAGGTACGTACCAGTTACCAGAGCGCGATCGCTATTTGTAGATAAATCATCAATTGTGAGTAATTTAAAATCGCATTACTATTCATTAGTAACAGTAACTTTCCCGGTAATTATCCAGGCGGATCGCCGCGGCTGCTTTACACCGGTGGATTTGTACGTAAAATCCTGCGCCCGTACGAAATCAGTTGTCCGGTTTTCGCAATTTCGCTGAAAACAAGATCGCAACTGACCGTCGGACGGAGTGACCGGTCGCGCGATTAAAAGCCAGCCAACGATTCACGCGGTCTGCTTTTTCCTTCTTTTCGGTAGCCACTCGGATTCGAAAGCGACTCGACCACTTTCCATCTGCTACGACAGGGTCGTTTTTCGTGTTGAAACGGTTGAATTTCTAAGAAGCCGTCTCCAAGAAAAAGAAAAGAGAAAAAACAAAAAACATAGACGCGCAATTAATCTAAGAGCGATTAGAAAATTAGAAAATTACGACACATGCGTTCGCTGCTATATGAAAGTATTCGGCAAGATTCTTTTGACAAGGTTCGTCAACTATTTCAATTAGAAAACGTACCAAGCCGCAGTGATTTTATTCCGTTATCGTTACGTCTTTAATGAATTTAATTATAAACAGATTAACATCGAAACGTGTTTCTTCTTCAGATTTCTTTGATTTCCAAGTTCGATGTCAGATTGAGAAAATTTCTTTTAGGCTAGACAGAACGACTTGGAACGTTCGTCAGAATATAAATGAGAAATTTACGCGTTTTGGATAATTTTGTCTGGTATGTTCAATTACCGAATTCGTCATTAATTGTATTCGACGAATTAAGATTAATGTAGCAGCAGCCTTGTTAAATTGTACAAGTCGCTTTTCCAAATTGAAACCAAATTCAGAATTACGCCGATGGAGATGCAAAAAAGTAGCGGGAAGAGAGAGGAGATTAGGTAAAGAAACACGACGCCGCACATAGTAATATAAAATCCCGTCGCCGTCCCACGGAATTATACGAATCGTATTTTCTTGCACGGTCGGATTCGTTAATTTGACGCACGAACGTGTTTTTAACAAACAAACTTGGCCACTCGAGCGTCTTGCACACCGTTTCCCCAGTCCCGTTATCTTTATTTCGCTCGCCTGTCCTTCATTTACTCGCCTATTGAGCCGCGTTTCTAGCGAAACGTCACGCCTTTCCAAAAGCAGAACTACGAGCATAATTACGATTAATTACACGCTTTTAATTAAACCATGTCCCTCTCTCTCTCTCTCTCTCTTTCTCTTTTTTTGCTTTTGCTTCCTCGTGTATTTACGCTTATTCACGCATTATTATAACATGCTTCAACTTTCTCTCTCGATTCTCTCTTTTCCTCTGTTTGCGATTTTGTTCAATCTTTTTTTTGAGGACAGATTGATCTTTCTTCTCATATTTTTCTAAATTTTCCCTTATATTTTTTTCTCTTTACTATTTTTTAATACCTTAAAAAGAAATGAATTTGCTAGATCACGGATGTTGACGAAAATTCATATTTTCTGAAGGTACAAGTGAAATTGCCTCGTGTAATATTATACAACGTTACTATACTTAGGGATATTTCACACGCATTCTGCGTAGTTTCACCATTTTTAGATTTTCTACGAATATACAATTCTAGCAGTCTATTATGAATTTTATTTTCCTTGAAAGAAAATTACATCGGACGTTCCTGCTTTTTGAAAGTTTATTTCTTACTGAACTAAAAACCGCTCGTCCGTTTGACGAGTTGTATTCCTCACTTTGTTCATTTCCATTTCACTTTTCATGACGAGAAACGAATGTAGTTGTTTCAATAGAGGATGTTTTTAAATTCCTTATGAGAAATACATTGATACAAATATATTAAAAATATAGGCGACACTTTTATTTCGAAATCTCGTTTCAATGCTGTACATGGTTATTATTATTCGTCCTGTACAAAATCTAGTACTAATATCGATACGAGAATTATTACTTGTTACGGATTCCGCTCTTTTTCAAATCCTCCAGAGGTCGACAAGCGAGAAACTGCTTTTCTCACAGCTAGCAGCATTAATATAACCACGAAACTAGATAAATTTCGAAATATTCGTTTTCACTAATCTGACAGAAGCGAATAAATCTTCCGTGGGCTGAAACGTGCGCGACGAAATTTCTCTGGAAAGCCATTATACGCGTCATAATTGCACGATTTTTGTTACGTCGCGCGCGGAAATAGGAACAACGCGACAGCGAAACGGTTGTGCAGTGTAATATTAGAATGCTAATTAAACAATTACTTTTTTTTTTTTTTTGTTCCTTTCTCTTTCATTGCTAATGTTGTCACGTACCAGCGACGTTTAATCTCTCGAAATTCTTTAATTTCACAATTTGGACGATGGAAGAAATCAGTTCTCTGCATGCAAATTTAAATATCTTCCAATTACGAACATTCAGTTTCAGCACGTGTAGATAGCGCAATAAGGAAAGTACGACGTTCATTTATTTTTTTCCAATTCAATTGCTTTTATAATTGATACAGAGATATTTTCGACTAATCTTCCGGCAACGAATAATTTCTCAAAAACTGGGCACGACTTTCTGAAATCTCGAGTATAATAGAAAGTCCCAAAGCGACAAATGCGAACGGGATTACGAAACTGAATGAAATTATGAAATCGAACTGTGCATTGTGAAAATGGATCAAATTATACCGCACCGTTGTAAAATAAAATTACACGTGATTAAACTTGGCGCCGTGAAATCAAGCAAAATTATAAAATTAAATTACAAGTTACCCTGCGAAATGAACTGAAATTACAGGATCAAACTGCACGTTGCATAGAATTAAACAAAGCTTCACGTAATTAAACTTCGCGTCATAAAATGGAGCAAAAT